GCCACCCAGGCTCCCCAAACCTTCTTTTTAACTAATAGTTTAGTCTCAGCTGAGAAGTCATTTACTCTAGGATTCCTTTCTTGGTCCCTTATTTTATTTTAATTTTTTTAAGCTTTCTTACTTATTTCTAGAGACACACAGAGAGAGAGACAGAGAGGCAGAGACACAGGCAGAGGGAGAAGCAGGCTCCATGTAGGGAGCCTGATGTGGGACTTGATCCCGGGTCTTCAGGATCACACCCTGGGCTGCAGGCAGTCATAAACCCCTGCGCCACTGGGGCTGCCCTGATCCCTTATTTTAAACTAGGTTCCCTTTCTGGCCATCTAATAGTACCACATTACACTATTCAATCTTGAGTACGCATCAAAAGTAATTACTTTTTAGTTATATTTCTTCCTTCCATGACCATCAGCTTTAGGAACAGGGACCCCCTAACAATACTGCAGCAGGGCTGTATGCTGGGCAAAGGGAAATAATCAAATCTTGTGGGGAATTATTGGACAATGGCTCTGAATTGATACTAATTCCTGGAGACCCAGAATATCACTACCAGTCAGTAGAGTGATCTATCAGTCAGAATAGGGGCTTAGGGGAGGTCAGGTTGTCCATGGAGCTGTAGCTCAGGTCTGTCTCACAGAGGCTCAGTGGTCTTTGAGCACACTGTTCCAGTATGTCTAATTGAAATAGATCACTCAGAAACTGGGAGGATTCCCACATTTATTCCCTGATTCATGGAGGGAGGGCTATTATGGTAGGGAAGGCCAAGTGGAACCACTAGAACTGCCTCTCCCCATGAAAGCAGTAACCAAAAGCAACACTGCATCCCTGGAGAGGTAGAGATTAGTGTCGCCAGTAAGGATTTGAAAGATGCAGGGGGTAATTCTCTCCACATTCCCATTCAATTTGCTAATTTGGCCTGTACAGAAGACAGATCTTGGAGAATGCAGTGGATTACTGTAAACTCAGTCAGGTGGTGGCTCCAATTGTAGTGCTATTCTAGATGAGGTTTTGTTGCTTGAGCAGATTAACACATCCCCTGCTATCTGATACGCAGCTATTGATCTGGCAATTTTTTTTTCTCTATACTTATTAGTAAAGGCCACCAGAAGCAGTTTGTTTTCTGCTGACAAGGCTAACAACACATCTTCACTATCCTAACTCAAGTATATCAACTCATTATAGCTCTATGCCGTAATTTAGTGGACAGGGGCTTTTAATGCTATTCTCTTCCAGGACATCAAGCAGGTCCATTACATTGATGATAGTAAACTGATAGGACATGCTGAGCAAAAGAAGCCAAACACAAGAATATATACTGTGTGAGTCCATTTATATGAAACTCTAGGCAATTATATCATTTGTTGCCTGGTCCTGGGGAGGGGCAGAAGAAAAACTTTTGGAGTGACATAAATATTCTGTATTTTGACAGTCATGTTGGTTACACTGGTGTATACACTTGGCAAAACTCAGTGAACTGCACACTTAAAATGTGTTTATTTTATTGTTTGTAAATTATACGTAAATAAAGGTGACAACAATAAAAAACAAGAACATGATTTATCAGTTCTTAGGGGTTGCAGTAAAAATATCTAGAAATAAATCCATAGCCTCAAATGTTTTCATGACTTAAAAAGGAATAAAAGTGAATGAACAAAGCATTCGATGCAAAGGTTTAATAAAACAATTTAAAAAATTAGGGAAGGCAGGAGGAAAAAGCCCAGAAATCCAATTAAGTTCAAATATGGAAAAATAAATACATATTGAGATGCTTTCTTGGCCCAAATGCCCTTCTCTGAGAATTTGTCTTCATCCACAGGACCTATAGATGGGCTGAGCTTTAACTTCCATGTTATCATCCATGTGGCTTAGTCCAACCTGGCTATGAACGATGTATACTACTGCATATGCATACTTTTCAGCATTTAAAAGTAATAGATTGGATGTACACACAGCATCTTGGAAAGAGCTGACATATATAGTTCTGAATTTAAAACATAGCACAAGACATATAACACAATACTATTTATAAAAATGTAAAATAAATTTATAAAATACCAATATACATTTCATAAGAACAGACAGACAAAAAAGTACATGTTAGAATTGTTGCCTATGGGAGAGAGGAAAGGGAATGGGCTATGGGAATAAGAGAATGAATAAAAAATTAAACTAGAGGAGTCCCTCATGGGCCAATGATCATAACGTATCATGAACTGAGGGGTATGATAAAATTAGTGTTCAACATCTGAGAGTGAAAACAGAGACGCCTGGGTGGCTCAGCGGTTGGGTTCCTGCTTTCGGCTCAGGTCGTGATCCCGGGATCTGGGATCCGGGATCGAGTCTCACATCGGGCTCCCGTGAGGAGCCTGCTTCTCCCTCTGCCTGTGTCTCTGCCTCTCTCTCTCAGTCTGTGTATCTCATGAATAAATAAATAAATCTTAAAAACAACAACAACAAAAAATGAACAATCTTTTCTTTTTTTTTTTTTTTTTACGAACAATCTTTTCTTCAACAGATCGGTCAGGGACTAGAGGAATAGTCTGAAGGAACCAATAGAAAATAAAATGGAAAATAACAAAGTAATAAAACAGATTACAGAGCTGATGATAAAGAAGACAATACAAAAATAAATGTATACACTATGGATAATTGGAATTTCTGAAGAAGTAAATCAAAGAAATAGTACAAACAATAGCCCAAGGGGCACCTGGGTGTCTCAGTCAAGCATCTGTCTTCAGCTCAGGTCGTGTTCTCAGGGTCCTGGGATCGAGCCCTGTGTCGGGCTCCCTGCTCAGCAAGGAGTCTGCTTCTCCCTCTGCCCCTTACTCCACTCCTGCTCTCTCTTGCTCACTCTCTCCCTGTCTCTCAAATAAATAAAGTCTTTAAGAAAAAAAAAGTATCTCAAGATATGATACACGAAAAAGTTCTTATAAAAAATACAAAAAAGGGTGCATGGGTGGCTCAGTCAGTTAAGCATCTAATTCTTGATTTCATCTCAGGTCATGATCTCAGGGTTGTGAGATCAAGCTCTCCATCTGGCTCACACTAAGCATGGAGCCTGCTTAAGATTCTCTCTCTCCTTCTCCCTCTGCCCCCACCCCTCACTTGTGTGTGCATGCTCTCTCTCTCTCTCTCAAAAAAAAAACAAAAAAAGAAAAAAAAGGAAAAACTAAAGTCTACAGCTGTAGAGGTCTAATGTACCCCAGGAAAAGCATTAGAGATTATTAACACCAAACTTATGGTGGTGAAGTACAAAATTTCCAGAATAAAGAATCTTAGAGGCAAAAGAAGTCAGTCACTTTTAGGAGAAAACACAGAGTAGGCCCCACACACTATTCCAAGGAGCTACAAAATGCTGAAACATCCTCTCAGTTGTAAAGAAAATAATCATCTAACCAAATTACCATCCAGTTATAAACGGAGACATATTCTTTTTTAAAAATTTTATTTTTAAGTAATCCCATACCCAACTTGGGACCCAAACCTACATTCCCAAGATCAAGAGTCATATACTCTATGGACTGAGCCAGCCAGCTGCCCCTGAATGTAGACATATTATTAAGCCTTTGCAAATTCAAGGAATATGGTATCCATAGCTATAGTTTTTAGGTTTAAATATTTGAACTATTTGAATTTATTTACAATGTTACTATAAATCTCAACAACTATAAGAATTATGATTCAAGAACAGAATATAAGTGTAAATATTACTAAAATAAATGTTATTGTAGTTGATAACGAACAAACACTAGTATAATGAATGCCAGTTGTGCCTCAGTTTCTTTATCTGTAAAACAGGAATAGTAAAAATCTCTATATCTCATAAAAATGTTGTGAGGATTAAATGAGCTCTTTCATGTAAAGTGCTTAGAACAGCATCTAGTATTTAATAAATACTGAATAAATGTTACTGATTAGTATTATTAGACCCTAAACAAAGATAAATGAAATAGCTGAAGAAATAACATGAGTTTCGTTAATATTTTCCCACAAACTTCCTTAATTTTGGAACAATCTTATAGAAGCTAATGTATTTTTTTTATGGTGAAGGAATATTGTTTAAAGAATTTCTTCAAAAAAAAAATAAAGAATTTCTTCAGTTTCACTTCCATTTAAATTCTTAAGTAAAATCAAGGGGAAATGAGGGGTGCCTGGCTAGCTCAGTTGGTAGAGCATGTGACTCTTGATCTCAGGGTTAAGAGTTCAAGCCCCACATTGGTTGTAGAGATTACTTAAAAATAAAAACTTAAAAAATAGAGAAGTAAATTATGATTGTGTTACTACCATGGCTGTTTATCACTTAGTGGAAACATGTTGAATAACAGACTAATATTCTTTTCCCAAAATGGAGAGATTTGTTCAAGTCCATTGCTGACTTTATTCCACTGAGCTGACTGTACCTCCCACTTCAGCACCTCATCAGTCTTAGCACTATTACTCTGAATTCTTTATTTAAACAATTCATAGAGGGATCCCTGGGTGGCGCAGCGGTTTAGCGCCTGCCTTTGGCCCGGGGCGTGATCCTGGAGACCCAGGATCGAGTCCCACGTTGGGCTCCCGGTGCATGGAGCCAGCTTCTCCCTCTGCCTATGTCTCTCTGCCTCTCTCCCTCTCTCTCTCTGTGACTATCATAAATAAATAAAAATAAAAAAAATTAATTCATAGAATGTTCAATTCTGTTCACAGGTATTATAGTAACACTGTCATTTGCTGAGTCCTTGAGCTTGGGTCTGGTACCATGCCCAGTGACAAAAAAGAAATCACTATTCTGCCCTCAGGAAGTTAAGAGTCCAGTTGCAGAAATAAGATACAAACACACATAAAGTAATCAGAAAATACTTCAAGGCACTATTTAGTGGTAGTGTCTGTTTTGTGGTACAGAAGTTACATGGTCTAGAAGTTGAGAGGTGGTCAAGGAAGGCCTTGTTAAGGCAGTTGACTTGAGCTCAGAAGTGGGGGAAGAATTTGAGCTACTGGAAATAAGGGGGGAAACCTCCTACCTGAGATCTTCTCCATCTCTTCCAGTAGCTTTTCCAAGTCTTTATTCAGGTCTGACAGCATTTTCAGCATGTTGTCATAGTTTCTTTCTCCAGATTCAGAATCAGCCATCTAGGCAGTACACAGAAAGAAGACTCGGTGAGACAGACCGACTCTGATTCCAGCTCTATTATGCACACTTAGATAGCTCAAACCAGAACCCTGAGGTCGTCTTTAATTCCTCCTTATCTTGTTTTTCTGACCTAAGGGGTCACTGAAACTCACTCGTTTTATTTGTTTGTGGAATATTTACTCATCTGTGGGTCAAGAAGGCCCAGTGCTTGGGAGTCACCAGTGAACTGAACACTGCCTTTGTAGAACTCACAGCCTCACTGAGCTCTTTAAAAAAAAATTTTTTTTAAAGCTTATTTATTAATGAGAGATACAGAGAGAGGGAGGCAGAGACACAGGTAGAGGGAGAAGCAGGCTCCATGCAGGGAGCCGGACACAGGACTCAATCCCGGGTCTTCAGGATCAGGCTCTGGGCTGAAGATGGCGTTAAACCGCTGAGCCACCGGGGCTGCCCTCACCCAGGTCTTTAAGGTCCTTATCCTCCCTCTTTCCAAGGTCGTGGCTTGACCTTTGGTCTGTTCTGTCATCTGCCACTGAATAGGTCTACTGAGCATCTACTATGTGCCAGATATCTACCATGGCTCTGTAGATACTGGGGTGTATTTGTGGATCCAGACAGATAAAACCCATGCTCTCACTGCGCTTCTGTCCCAGGAGGAGACACAAGTAATAAACAAAAGAATGGTAAAGATGCCTTCGTTTGTGGTCACTGCATAAAGAAAACAAAAGAGCGTAGTTTAATAAAGAGGGTCTTTCACAGGGTGGGTGCTTTAGCTTGTAAAGTCCTTCCTAATGAGGTGGAATTTGAACTGACACTTGAATGATAAGCATTTTTTTTAAGATTTTATTAATTTATTTGACACAGAGAGCATGCGCACAAGCAGGGGCAGTGGGAGAGGGAGAAGCAGGCTTCCTGCCAAGCAGGGAGTCTGATGTGGGGCTCAATTCCAGAACCTGGTGATCGTGACCTGAGCCAAAGGCAGACACTCAACCAACTGAGGCACCTAGGCACCCATGACATTTGAATGATAAAAAGGAGTTGGCTGTAAAGAGCTAGGGGAAGAGGTCTAGATAGAATTGCTCAAGAAAAGGTGGGAGTGGTCCTCATGTATTTTAAAGCAAGGAAAGAAAGTATAGAATGGGGTTGAGGAGTAAAATGGTATAAGATAAGATCAGCTAGGTAGGCAGGAATTTTGGTTTTATTTTGAGTTTGAGGAAAAGCCACTAGATATTGAGAGCAGGGGATTATGTTTTAAGATAATGACTTCAGCAGTTGTTTGGAAAATGAACTACTACAGAAGGTTGAGAGGAGGTAAGAGTAGGAGAACCAGTTAGTTAAGAGAGCACTAGAATGGTCTCCAGATGGAAGTGGCTTTGGACTAAGGTGGTAGGTAATAATACCAATGATGAAAAGTGGGAGGGTTCAGGCTATATTTTGGAAGATGAGCCAAAAGAATTTGGAAGAAGATCTGATGTGTCTAGGTTTTCAGGGCTAAGTGGTGGGAAGAGAGAAATCAAAATGACTCCTAATTTTGATGAGAACAACTTGATATGTGGTTGTTTATTAAATGAAGTGGGGAAGACTAAGAGAAGAATAGGTTAGAAAGGAAACAAACTGCTCTTTTTTTTTTTTTTTTTTAAGTCATCTCCATTCAATATGGGGCTTGACTCACAACACTGAGATTAAGAATTGCAACGCAGGGGATCCCTGGGTGGCTCAGTGGTTTGGCGCCTGCCTTCAGCCCAGGGCGTAATCCTGGAGACCTGGGATCAAGTCCCACATTGGGCTCCCTGCATGGAGCCTGCTTCTGTCTCTCTCTCTCTCTCTCTGTCTCTCTCTATGTGTCTCTCATGGATAAATAAATAAAAATCTTAAACACACACACACACACACACACACACACACACACACACACACAGTAAGAATTGCAACGCTCCACCAATTGAGCCCGGGGGTGGGGGTAGGAGTGGGGGGTGGAGGTTGGGCAAATGCTCTATTTTGAATGTATTAATGTGAGATGCCTATTAGGCCTCCCAAAGGAGATTCAAACAGGCAGTTGAATATATAGGCCTGGAGTTCAGGAGAGAAAAGATGGAGCTGAAAATATTTGGAACTACCAGGGCATGCTTTTTTCACCTTTCACTTGGACTATTTTTGGAAACTCATAACTGGTTTTCCTGCTTCTGGCTTCATCTTGTCAAATCCACTTTCCCAGTTCACCTCCCAAAAGACCTTTCCTAACATGTAAATCTGACCATGTCACTCTGTTTACAACCCTTCAATTGCTCCATCTTCTTTCAGGATAAAACACAATCTCTTTACTATAGATACAAGATCCTTTATAATCTAGTTCTTGACTATTCCTATTCTCATCCAGTTCTGGGTTGTGACCAAATAATTGAAGAAAGCCTTAAGAAATCTCAAATGAAAATCTGTAAGAGTTGTGTATTTCCATGAGATGTGCTAAAAAAAAAAAATCCACAAAACTCTATAAAATTAAAAAATTTACAGTTTTCCTATAATACGAAATGGAATAAAACAATTCTATCACGTAGGCGGTTACAAAAATCTGTGTGAAGGCAAAGGAGTAGATAATGACACAATTCATATCTAGTTGTGTGGGCTACTTGCTCAATTCATTAATTTATAAGATTCTGGTATTATTCTTTTACCCACACATTCAGCACATATTTATTGAGTACTATTTTAGATTCTGAGGATATAGCAGTGAACAAAACAGGTTAAAATTCTTGGTCTCGTGGAATTTATATTCTAGTGGTAAGAGAACATAAACAAGATTAATAAGTGAACTAAATATAAGGAGGGGATAAGTAGCAAGGAAAAAAGTCAACCAGAGATGGAGGGCAAAAGTGTGTAAAAAGGGTGACTGTGGGATGCCTGGGTGGCTCAGTCGGTTAACCATCTGCATTGGCATGGCTTAGGTCATGATCCCAGGTCCCTGGGATCCAGCCCGGTGTGGGCTCCTTGCTCAGTGAGGAGTCTGCTTCTCCTCTTCCCCCTGCTCGTGCCTGCTCGTGCCTTCTCTTTTCTCAAAAAAGTAAATAAAATTTAAAGAAAAACTTCCTTAAAAAATAAAAGAAAAAAAGAAAGGGGTGGGTGGATGCAATTTAAATATGTGTACAGGCTTGTGATGAGCACAGGGTATTGTATGGAAGTGTTGAATCACTATATTGTACACTGAAAGTCATATTACACTGTATGTCAAGTAACTAGAATTTAAATAAGAACTTAAAAAAGAAACAAAACAAAGGAGCAAAGGGAAAAAAAAAAGAAAGAGAGGCAAACCAAGAAACAGACTATTAAGTAAAGAGAACAAATTGACAGTTACCAGAAGGGAGGTGGGTGGGGGGCTGGGTTAAATAGGTGATGGGGATTAAGGAGTGCACTCCTGATGAGCACCGAGTCTTGACTGAAAGTGCTGAATACTGTACACCTGAAACTATTATTACACTGTATGTTAACTAAATGGAAATTAAAACTTACAAAAACAAACAAAAAAAATAAATTAAAACTTAGAAATAAATAAGAAAGTGTGTGGGGAAGGCCTTGCTGAAGTGATTTTGACTAGAGACTTGAGGAATTGAGAGAATGAGCCATATGGGTATTTGGGAAAAGTGCATCCCAGGCAGAAAAAAGAGTAAGAACAAAGGCCCTGAGCTTGAAGTCAGCTGGACGAGCTAGAGGAAGAGCAACAAAGGCAATGTAGTTGGTACAGAGAGGGAAGTGGGGAGTAGTAGAAGATGATATCCCAAATGTGGGAGTAGAACATGGTGGGCCTTGTAGGCCACGGAAAAGACTAGCGTTTTCTTTGAGTGAGATGGGAGCCTGGAGGGTGGTAATTTGATTTATATGTTAATATATCACTAGGTTGAGAGTAGCTTTTCTGGGTGGAAGCAGGGGCACTAGGAGGCCGCATTAGAATAATGCAGGTGAGAGATAATTAGCATAGGAATGATATAAGTAGTAGAAGAGGATAATTCAGGGTACATTTTGAGGGCAGAGTCAACAAGATTTGCTCATGAGTCAATGTGGAGTGAGAGACGACACAAAGATTTTTGGCTGGATGACCAGAAATGGAGATACCATTAACTGAGATAAGGGAAACTGGAAGACACTGAGTTGTTTGGGAAGAAAGAACTCAGTTTTGAACATATTAAGATACCTATGAGGCATCCAAGTGGGGATGCTGAGTAGGCAACTGGATAAATGAATTCAGAAGAGAGAGCAGGCTAAAGATAGAAATTTGGGAGTCATCAGCATCCAGAGGCTATTTAAGACATGAGAATGGGTGGGATCAAGGGAGATAATACAGATGGAGAAGAGGTCCATCATCATTTGGAGAGATACGAAGAAACCAGCCAAAGAGACTGAGGAAGGGGGGCCACAGAGGCAGAAGGAGAACCAGTCCTGACTCCTAAGTCCAGACTCTTGCAGAGTCACTGGACCCCAACTAATGTCCTCCGAGAGTATGAAAACTCAGCAAGCTGACAAGATAACTCTAAAAAGTAAAACGAAGGGAACTCCAAAAATTGAATGGGATAAAATCCGTGCTTCCTTAATGGGTGAATAACTTACAATGCTGAGAAGTAAGGAATTCAGATAGGACATGTTGAAGAGCATAAAAAAGTAGAATTACTGTTAATATTTGGTATTTTCTGCATGTCTATGTTTAAGAGATGTTGATTTATTAGAGTAACAGGTCAGCTTTGTCATTCTAGTTTAAAATGTGAAATTGATTATGGGTTATAATTTTAAGTGAGAATCTTCATAACTTTATAAAGAGGACATTTAAGAGAACCCGAGGTTCACCATATTTGTAGGTTTGACTTGTGATATTTATAGGAATTATTTAAGAAAGTGGGAAGATTTGTTATTAAGACAACTGAAATACTTAAAGAAATGAAATATATTAAATTTACAAATAAACGAGTTTAAGTTTGCCTGGGCTGAAGCCTTTATTTGGTGCAAGACTCTGTAG